CGCGGCTTGCTGCCGTACTTGCGATCGGTGATGACGCGGTCAACTTCCTGATGGCCATCCATAGAAGGAGGGTCCTGCGATCGTCGGCCCGGAAAGTCGTCGCTCTTGGCTGGCGTGTATGTTGCCAGCTTCGAGGCGTGTAAAAGACTGGATGGACCGTCAGATGCTCTGGAATGTTGATCGCAAATGAAGGGCCATCGGGCTCATCGCCCGCGGCTGCTGTCACAGACCAAGGTCCAAACCACTTGGGAAGCAGTTTGCGTGAAACGTCCTGTTCCAGTGCAAACTCTTCCGCGGAGACCCAAACCAGATCACCGGCGCGGATGGGACATGGTACGCGACGCCTGTTGGCTTGCTGCTGCATGCGGACTTGAGCCTTTTGCATGTTTGCGCGGGCTTGAGTCAGCAATTCTCTGTACTTCCGGACGGAAGCGGGAGAGCAGGCAGCGTCAATGTCGGCTGGTCGAGGGAGGAGAAGGTCGGCGAAGATACGGCCTTTCCGTCCACCGTGGTGCAACTCGAATGGAGTCACGCCGATCGCCGGGTGCACCGAAGTGTTGTAGGCGAACTCGATGTCGGGGAGGCGGTCAACCCAATCTTTCTGGTCTGGACGGATGAGCGTACGAAGCATCATTTGAGCGGTTTGATGTGCCCGCTCCGTCTGCCCGTCTGTCTGAGGATGCCGAGCCGGACTTGGTTTCATTGTTGTGCCGGACTCCTGCATGAGAGCAGTCCAAAACGCCGACATGAAACGAGTGTCGCGGTCGCTGACAATGTCTTCTGGTACACCGTGGCCACAAATCCAACCAGTGTGCAGGAGGCGTGCCAGCTTGGGAGCCGTGGAGTAGTACTTGCAAGGGAGAAAACGCGCGTACTTACTCAATCGGTCCACAACCGTGAGGATGCCGTCATGCCCGAGCTGGTCGCGAGGAAACGGACCGGTGACGTCCATGGCAATGGAGAGACCGGGTTCCCGTGGGATAGGCATCGGGTGTAGCTCGCCATAGGGATTGCGGTTGCGGGGTTTGCTGCGTCGGCAAACTTTGCACGAGTCGCAATACCGAGTGACATCGGTAATGAGGTCGGGCCATCGGAATCGCTGTCGAAGCCTTGCAATAGTGCGGTTGACTCCGAAATGGTCGGCGAGTCGTGAATCATGATACTCGCCGAGGAGGCGAGTCCGAAGACGACGATCGCGTGGGACACACAATAAGTCCTTGCCTCTCGAGTGGAGGAGCAAGTATCCGTCGGCGATGCGATGGTGGYTGGCCRGCGGGTGATCCGAAGATAGYTGTGCGTACARCRTGGCGAAGTCCGGATCAGACTCATATGCCCGGATGAAGTGTCGCTGAAGCTCCTCGTCGAATGCGAAGGCATGATGTGTCATAGCGCAAAGATCGGGTATTCGCGAGAGTGCATCTGTTGCGCGATTTGAGAGGCCGGGTAGATGTTTCGGTGTGAAGTCAAATTGGTTGATGAAGTACATCCATCGTCCGATCGTGCTGCTCACCGTATCCTGCGTCTTGTAGTAGGTCAATGGATTGTTGTCCGTAATCCATGTGAACCTACGACACCCAAGGAGGAAGTGCCGCCATCGCTTGAGAGCCATGACGAACGCGAGTAGCTCCTTCTTCCTTGCATCATCAAGCGAGTTGATGCGAGGCACTTTGTGGCTGAAATACTCCACAGGGTGCCAGTTGTCGCCGTCGTGCTGTTCCAAGACTGCCCCAATGCCGTAGCCGGAAGCGTCCGTAGTCACTCTCGTTGGCAGGGTGGGGTCATAGATGCTAAGGACGGGTGCCATAAGCATAGCCGTCTTAAGTGCTTGGAATGACCGGCGCGCGTCGTCATCGAATACGAATGGCACCTTTGGCGACTGTAACCTCGTCATAGGTCCAGCAATCCTCGAGTATCCGGTGATGAATCGCTGATAGTAGCCCGTCAACCCCATGAATGAACGAACGTCCGTGGTGTTGGTGGGCTCGGGCCATACTCGTAGGGCCTCGATCTTGTCTACAAGCGGACGGATGCCTTGCGGTGTCACATAGTGTCCCAAGTACTCCAGCTCCTGCCGCGCGAATTCGCACTTGTCGCGGTTGGCTTTGTACTTGGCTTGACGTAGCCGCTCCAAAACGGTGCGCAGGTGTTCCACATGCTCCTCCAAACTCCGGTGTATACCAGGATGTCGTCGAGGTAGATAAGTACGTAACGATCGAGCATGTGTCGGAACTCCGTTGTCATAGCCGCTTGGAAAGTGGCTGGGGCATTCGTAAGGCCAAATGGCATGACCAGCCATTCGAAATGCCCATAACGCGGTCTTGTAGCGATCCTCCTTGCGAATCTCGAGTTGGTGATATCCCGACTTGAGATCGAGCTTGGAGAAGAACTTGGCGCCGCCCAGTCGCTCGAGAAGATCGTCGATGCGTGGCAGAGGGCCGGCGTTCCTGATCGTCTGCGCGTTGAGCTTGCGATAATCGATGCGCAACCGCAGGTCCTTGTTCTTCTTCCGGACGAAGAGAACAGGAGCACCGTATGGCGATGAGCTAGGCCGAATCCAGCCTTTCTCTAGAAGATCGTCGAGTTGTGCACGGAGCACACTTAACTCTTCCTCGCTCATTCGGTAGATGCAACCGCGCAGAGGCACGGCCTCGTCCTCGAGGATGATCTCGTGGCGGATGGGTCGATCCGGTACTACTCCATTCGGGCCTTCGAACACGTCGCTGTAGGCGTCGAGAAGTTCGGTGATGCGTGGATCCGAAGATGAGTCCGTCGATGAAGCGTCTCGGGGCGGGAGGGCGTGGAGAAAACACACCCCCATCTCCTCGATGTCGTCTCTGATGATGGATGCTCGCATGCTTGCGGCAGATACCACGTGGCAGCTGATCGAAGGATGAGGAAGAGGTACCGTGCATGGAACTAATACTCCATTCCGATCACGAATGTGAACGGTGCGGTGGAAGAAGTTCACCGGGTGATCCTCGCTTCGCAGCCATGACATGCCCAAGATCATGTTGAAGTTGATGTCCAGAATGTCGAAGGACACCGCCTCACTTGCGTGAGGGGCAAAGTACACTGGGACGTCGTCGATGCACCGGTCGATTGACTTGTGCGTGCGACCGTCCGCCAAAGTGACTTGCGTAGGCTGGGACTTCCTCCGGACGCGTGGGCCAAGGCCGGCGCGGACCATGAAGCCCTGGCTGATGTAGTTGCGAGTAGCTCCGCAATCGATCAAGGCGCTGCAGGTCGCCTCTCCGATCTGAATGCGTACGTATAGCAATGGTGCGTTGATGTCATCGTACCGTTGCACCTTGAACTCGCGGTCGATCTTCGCAATGTAGGCGTGAAGGTCGACAACCTCTACTTCGGCGTCCATCAACGGAGTGGGTACTGCAGTGTGCAAGTAATCTAGCAGTTGTGCCATGAGCACATTGCAATGCGGTTTCGGCAATCGTCCGGTCGGGGGAACGGGCATCCACTGGAAGTCCGTGAACGTCAGTGGGTCGAGCACCTCAAGTCTTGACCACGACGATGAATCCCTGGCGATAGATAGCAGCGAAGCTGCCGAATCGATTGCCGATGGTGATGAAACCGTGCATGCGGTAGATCGTTGCACGTGGAGCGGTTGGTCCAGCGGTGGAACCAAGTGGACAGCATAATCCTCGTAATTATACCGAGGACTTGCGACATGCGCATCCTCCCCAGATGTGTAGGAGGCCGCTAGCAAGGCGACCGAATCTTGGGGAGTGAGAGGTGGAGTCGCCTCACCTCCTCCGCAACTCAGTTTCCCGAGTTAAGACGAGGCCACACATCCTCCTTGGCCTGATCTTGGCAAATGGAGGTCTTGTGCTTGCTGCTGTCAGAAATTTTCAGGTAAAACGAAATGCGAATATCAGAAATCTTCAGATAGTTGTTGCGAGAATTTTTTTTTCAGAGATTTGACGAAGTCCTACTTGCGTTACTAATGAGCGATCAATAGATCGCAAGCTGGCTACTTGATTGAGAGGTCCGCTCCGATACCAAACTGTTGCATACTATAACGGTGCAGACCAGAACAAGAACCGACCTCTCAATACAAAGTATAAGATAGCGCAGCGGAAGACTTAGATACCAATGATCCGAACAATCAATATTGCAATGCAGCCCCAAACATACATCATCATCATCATTCCATGGTGTGAAGGGGTCTGGCGCTTCACACAGGAAGACTGCGCCAGCCCCAACCATACACA